TGCTTCGTGTGATGGGTGAGCGAGTAAAGCTGCATTTTGGATCGCAATTTTACAAGCTTCAAATGCCTTCGTGGCTTCATCGTTCCATTCGATTGACGTTTTATCTTTTTTCTTCGTGTTGTGAAGGTAGGCGTGAAGTGGTGCTTGGATTTCAGCGGCTTTAGGTATGTGTTCTCTGTAAAAATTTATCATCCCAAGAAAACGCCTTAGCTCTTCGATAGTTTTAGGTTTTGCATAATCGATGATTGCTCTGACTTTTTCGGCAGGCGGTTTTATTCCTTCCTTGCTGACGGTGAAACCAAGAAATTGAACTTCTTGCTGTCCAAATATGCATTTCGAAGGGTTGATTGTGATTCCGTTGTCTTCTAATCGCTGTAGCACGGTGCGTAGATGGGTTTCGTGCGTTTCTTTATCAGGGCTTGCAACAAGGAGATCATCAATAAATGCGAAAACGAAATCCAGTCCATGAAGTACTTCGTGTATGAATCTTTGGAAAGTTTGACCTCCGTTCTTTAATCCTGGGATCATTCTTGGGAATTCGAATAATCCCATTGGGGTAATTATTGCTGTCTTCTCTATGTCTTCATCGCGGACTCTTATTTATTGGTAAGCTCGGTTGAGATCGATGGTGGAGAATATAGTCTTGTCTGATAGTTGATGAGTGAAATCCCTGACTCGCGGTATTGGGTAGCGGTCAGGAGTGGTAATAGAATTCAGTCTTCTGTAATCTCCACAAACTCGTAATTCTCCGTTCTTCTTCGGTACAATGTGAAGTGGTGATGACCAAGGGCTTTTGCTTGGACGGCATATTCCTTGCTCAATCATGTTTTCGAATTCCTTTCGAACTTGCTCGTATAGGTGTGGTGCGATTGGACGTGCACGACAATGAAGTGGTGGTCCATTGGTGTCGATGAAATGCTCAACGTCGTTCTTCGGTGTTAATTTCATTGAAGTTATTCTTGTGATACCAGGGTATTCTTCGAGGATCTTGTGATACGGTTGTTGCACATCTATGCTTCTTATTGTGGGCAGATTGGTTGCTTGTACAAAAGACTGAGATGCAAGATTGGTTTTCCCGTCGATGATTCTTCTATTTTTGATGTCGACGACCAACTGGTGATGTTGAAGAAAATCAGCACCGATGATTGGTTTGCTGACTTTAGCGACGATAAATCTCCATTTGAATGGTCGGCGTAGATTAAAATCAAGTTCCATTGTTTTTTCTCCATATGTAGGAATAACCGTATTGTTTGCTGCATAGAGTTGAAAATCTAGTGGCTTCAACTTCTGTCCTTGCTTCGACGGTAACACTGAGATATTTGCTCCGGTGTCGATAAGGAAAGTAAGCTTGCTTTTTTATCGGTGACGAAAAGACGGTAGGACTTCGCTGTTACGCTGGATCCCGTCGCATCGAGCGTACTAGTTAGTTTTCCGTATTCGTATTTTCATTTTTGAATGTACACGGTGCTGTGCATTTTCTTGCCTCGACCCCGAAACGTCGATGATAGTAGCAGTAAGGGGATCTTGATGTTGAGCTTATTCGACTTCTACTTGCTGAGCGGTTGCGACGAAAAGGTGATCTTCGGTGTTGCTGATTGCGCTGGTTGTACTGTTGCTGGTAAAAGGTATGATGCTGGGAAGCTTTGAGCGCGGCGACTTCGAATGATAGCTTCCGAATTTCTTCGAGAAGAAACTGGGTATCATTGGCCTTTGTTGAAGTGCCTTCGATGATCGATATGTGTGAGCTACTGCTGTTTTCGATCATCTTGTCCGCCAGGAGTGCCAGTTCGTCGAGCTTCGTCTGCGTGCTGAATGTTTCGCTGACTGCTATTACCGATCGAATATGTGGTGGTAGGTGGTTTACCCACATTAGCCGTAGTGTTGAATCCGGAACTTTATCTCGCGCCAAAGTACGCATTTTGCGTAGGAGTTGTGTGGGTTTCTGGTCTCCAAGTTCTATTTCTGATAGAAGTTTTTGTAGCTGTCGACTGTCGGATTCTTCGTATGCGGAGATCAGACGATCCTTCAGTGAATTATACTGGTCGACTGCTGGTGGGTTGTACAACAGGTCCGCAATTTGTTCGATGTCTTGTTTCTCAAGTTGGGCTATCACCATCTGTGCTAATTGCGCTTGGCTCTTCTTTAAACCATTCGTTGCGGCTTCAAAACTGACGAACCAAAGTCGTGGTTTGTCTCTCCAAAACGGTGGTATTCTTAACGATAGAGATATACCGGCGATTTCTGGTTCCTTTACCGGGTTTGATGTATATGTGTTTGCCTCCTGCTCCATAATGACGGCTTGATTACACTGATTTTATATAAACTGAAGTCTTCCTTCTCGGTGTTCGTACGGGTTTCCTTCGCGGTGTTCGTGCAATAGTAGTGGTACGTCGCAGGGTGTTCCTTCTTGGTGTTCGTACCGGATCTTCCCCCTCGGTGTTCGTACGGGGTCACCACTGTAATAGTAGAGACGAACTGTCCACTATTAACAGACTCCGAGTGGTTTTCTTTAAGGTGGAGAAATGAAACTACTGTTTATGTTTATGAATGTACTGTCGAATGGGATTCGGAATGGAATATCTTTTGCATCAACCTTGCCTATATTTATATGGCTGGCTCACTATTGATTTGCCAATGGTAACAATTAATATTTTGCCTAGCCAATTATATTGCTTATTTTATGACCAATGAAAACTATTTAAAATATACAATTATCTACGTTTCGTTTCCCGGCGTGAGACTTGTTTGTTGTTCACGAAGCTACGTCGCTGGACCGGGCTATTTAAGACATGCAGATCGGTGCGCACGCGTAGTCGGCGGGCGGCGGCGGTGTGGAATACAGCTCCGGAACAGCAAGAGGAAACGAACTGCGGCGTTGAAGAAACGGCTCACCATTGGTCGACGGATACGTGACGATAGCGGCGTGTGAAGACGGTGTGGCGCTGAATGATATTTGCGGCTGCTTCTTGTTTCTTTATAAGAACGTCAAATTATCTATATACAGTCCGCAGTATCCCAGTAGCCAAGAATAATTAGGAAATAAAATGTTTTTTTATTTATTCTCGCCTTCCGCGTTATGGTAGCAGCGGAGTATATATTATTTATTCCCGTTTCGGTTTGATTAATCTGGCTGCTACACCCACATCCAGAGGTTGTAAAATATGGCTGGTGTGAGAAGGCATTGTAAACAATATTATCTAGTGGGATTTAGCATACTCAAGCACTTTTGGACTTATACGAGGGTGAATTGAAAAGTACTCGGCCTAACCAAGAAAATAAACACATACTAAATCAGTTATATTTTTATTTTTCTACATAATCACCATCAAGTTCAATACACTTTTGCCACCTCCCCTTCCAAGCATTTAGACCGTTGAAAAAAAATGATTATTCCTTAGAGTCAAAATATGCGTCTACAGCTGCTTTGACCTCGTCGTTTGTCGAAAATCTTTGACCTCCCAAGTGCTTTTTTAGGTTAGGGAACAGAAAGAAGTCTGATGGTGCCAGATCAGGTGAATACGGTGGATGCGGTAACAGTTCAAAGCCACAGTTGTGAATTTCAGCCATTGACTGTACTGACGTGTGAACACGGGCGTTATCTTGATGAAACAATACTTTTCTTCTGAGCATTCCTCGACGTTTTTCTTTTATTTCCTCTCGTAAACGACGTAGTAAGGTGCAGTAGTAATCAGAGTTTATAGTCTGACCCCTTTCAAGATAATCAATCATAATCACACCTTTCGAGTCCCAGAATACTGAAGCCATCACCTTATTTGCCGACAAAATCGACTTAGCCTTTTTAGGGGGTGGTGAACCAGGTCTTCTCCACTGTTTTGATTGTTGTTTTGTTTCCGGTGTACAGTGATGAACCCATGTTTCGTCCATAGTAACAAAACGATTCAAAAAATCATCTGCATCGGCTTCAAATAACCCCAAACAGTCGCGTGAAATAGTCAATCGCGTCCTTTTTTGTTCAACTGAAAGCAGTCGCGGAACCCACCTCGCAGACACCTTGTGGAAACCCAACTCGTTGACAATGATGTTTCGAGTTCGTTTATAAGAGATGCCTATAATCTCGGCTATCTCTCTAATTTTTAATCTGCGGTCTCCCATTATTAAATCAAGTACTTTTTTAATATTTTTGTCAGTAGTTGACGTCGAAGGCCTTCCAGAGCGGGGTTCATCTTTCACACTCTCTCTACCACGCTTAAATTCTGCTATCCATTTTTTGACGGATGAATATGACAGAGCACAATCGCCTAATGTACTGACCATGTCATCATGGATGGCTTTTGATGATAGCACTTTCTTATGGAGGTACTTAATGACGGCACGCTGCTCGATTTGCTCCATTCGCGGAAATTATGTCCGATTACTTTGTTAATAAATTTATAAAATCACAACTAATTATCGCACACGTTTCGAACTTCACACAGTGAACTAGTCTGAACTGAACTAAATAATGTGGGTAGATTTGATTTTTAGAATTGAATGGATCTGTGTTAGGCCGAGTACTTTTCAATCCACCTAGTATGACTTGCATGTGAATCCATAATTAAAAATACAGGTCTTGCAGGAGGAATATTTTGATCAAAAAACTTAAGCCATTCAAAGAATAAATCTGCATTTATCCAGCCCTTTGGTGACAGTCGGGTTAAACCAAGGCTGGCCAATAGATTTTCCAGGTGAGCAAAATTTCTTAGACTGTGGCGGCGCCGGGCCACCGGTACTCCCATATTCATAAGGTAATTTATACACAATAAAGACAAAATATGCTATAATGTACTTTATTTGTAAATTAAATAAAATAACATTTTTTTATTTAATGTGAGCTGTGAAGAGGTTTTCCTGATAGTAATTTGTCGATATTTGGTTTTAAATCTGAAGTTGATAGTACAAACAAATCCGAAATGTGTTTTGCAGTGAGAGATGTGCAGTATTTATTTTTAATGTATGATAGAGTTGAAAATGTTTTTTCACACACATAGGTGGATCCAAACCTGCTTAAAATTTGCATAGCAAGGTCGCGCAATGTTGGGAAATCTTCACTAGAAACTTTTTTCCAAAAATTTGCAAAACTTTCTGTTATAGTCTGCGCGGAAGTGCTAGTCATCGCCTTAGGTATGCAAGCGGCGAGACGGGGGAGGACGCGATTGACAAGACGCACACGAGATATTTGAGGACAGATAAATCTCCGGATAACCATGTTAGAAACTGTCTTAATTAACATAATGGGTAAATTATTTATATTTTCCGGGCTAAACAAAAATTAACACGTATTTAAAAGCGTTAATTAGATTTTATTATTTATAATACAAAACAGTTTTCTAAACTCACCACCCAAATTAAACCTAAATTACCTTACTGCGAGAATTCTATGTTCGACCTGTGGGTTCGTATCACAAATAAGGAGGTTATTAAAACCTTGCGGTGTCTAGACATGAATAAAGCTAGTGGACCAGTTGGTATACCAGCTATAGTTCTATAGCGAAATCCGTTATAGCACAAAATTAATCCATATCTTCTTCTTCTTCATTACTATACATGTCTTCAATTTCCATATCCTCCTCAGAATCTGAATCGTTTCCCAGGTTTATGATCAACTCGTCTATTACATTGTCAAACCTCATATCGTGGTCCCAATATTGGTTCTCGATTTTCTGTACGTGGTCGTCACACTTTTGCCATCTTCCCGGAATGAATTCAGAAAACAATTTTGTGATGATTGGAATTTTGTCGTCCAATGAAGTATTTATATAATTTGTAGCTAAATTGTTCTTTATATCGGCCCACACAAGCTCAATGGGGTTGAGATCAGGATGATATGGCGGAAGGCGAAGAACGATATGACCTGAAGCCTTTAATATTTCGTCAATGACGTAAATTTTTTCGGACTGAGTTCTATTTATCAAATGAAAGAGTTCGGCTTTTGTATTATCTGGTGTAAATTCAACATTACGTTCGCGTAACCAATCTTGCATGTCCCTTTTTAAACTTGACATAGTAGGTTTTTTCTTTACCTGTACACAATGGTAGGAGGCATTGTCCATTACGACCACTGAATTAGGAGCTAGTTTATTTTTTCAATTTGTGACTAACCCAGTTATGAAAATTTGTGGCATTCATATCGCCATGGTAATCCCCACATTTCGAATCTGATTTGAAAATTGTTAAGGCACCGTTAACTAATCCGTCTCGGCTACCACCATGAACAATCACCAAACGACGCCCTTTGCCAATATCAGCATAAATTCCAGGCTCAGATTCGGATTGCCAACACATATTGGAGGTGTGGCTACTATTAACGTAGGTTTCGTCCAGATAATATATGTTTCGGTTTTCATTTCTATGTTTCCGTATAGCTCTTAAATACCTTACTCTCCATTCAGCAATACTGGGCCTCTCAATTAAAATGTGTCTCTTAGATTTACATTTTTTAAATAAATATCCCATCTTATGTAAAAGCTGTCGTAAATAGGTACAACCGCAGTTCACAATGCCATCTTCTTTTAAAACTGCAAGCAGCTTACGAATACTTGGGATTTTCTTATCACTAGTATAAAATTGATGAATTTTTCTTCGTATAACTCCCATGTCAAAATCATCAATCTGGATTCTCTTTTTTTATTTCTTTAGGTTTCCGCGGAGATGAAAATTTTGCAATTTCCGATGTTTGTAGACTCGAATTTCCTTCAGCTACAATTCGCATTACGGTGCGGGCAGACACTCCTGTAGCCTCTGCTACTAATTTATTAATGTTCATATCATATTTGTGTTCCATACTTTCCTTGTCGCCCTTTCGTCTTAAAAAAAAAAAACTATGTGAATATTTATCTCGTGTATTTTTGGAGAAAACTGTCGCGTACAACTGAATCGTGTAACCGTCGCGGCGGTTGACGGCAGACTGCGTCAGCTTGATGTTTATCTACCTCCCCCCGTCCTGCCGCTCACATACCTAAGGCGATGACTAGCACTTCCGCGCAGACTATAGCTGCTCTGAAGATACGTTTTGGGAGAAAACTTGTTTAAGAGCAGTGTGATTTTGAAGATCTGTCACTTCTAGCTGAATGTTTGCTGGATATTCAAGCAGATCAGTAAAACTGATTGCAAAAGGATTCATAAACAGCTTAATATTTTTCTTGTCAGATTCAAAATCCTGGAATCTGTTTTCAAAAGACTCTTAAACATTTTATTTTTGATAGGTATTTCGTGATATCAAGGGCAGTGATTTTTAATGCTTCTTTTACACTTGCAAGTGTGGAAAAATGGTCGATTTTATTTCTCTCTAAGTTTGCAGCAAACAAGTTCAACTTCCCTTCGAAACCATTGATCAAGTTTAACATTGCTGGAAGAGAACAATCTTTTCCTTGCAATTTAACGTTCAGAACATTAAGGTATAATGTCAACTACAAATGCAAGATCGCAAAGCCATAATAAATTTGTAAGCAGAGCTCTCTCTGCTGATAATGCTTGTTTTTCTTCCAAAAAATCCAGAACGTGGTCCCTCAAATCATAAAAATATTTCAACATTTCGCCCTTTGGGTAACCAGCGAACAGCGCAATAGAGATGTAGTTTGCAGTATTCTTTAATTTCTTCTTCAAACAACGTTCTGTATTGTCGGCGGTTAAGTGCTCTGGCACGTATGAAATTAATGCAACGTACTACTGGGTTAATCTCATCATCGAACGTCATGTCTTTAGCGCACAAAGCTTCTTGATGGATAATACAATGATAAGAAAACAATTGTCGACCGATGTGATTTTGTAGCAAAGCCACAGCACCATTGGTTTTCCCCATCATCGCAGGTGCTCCATCTGTGCAAACTGAATTGCATTTATCCCAGTTTAGGTTCTTACCCTCAACGCAATCTTTGAGTTTCATGAATATATCCTTTCCTGTGGTAGTAGTTTCAAGTTGACAAAGGTCCAATAAACCATGAAATATATTAAAATTGTCATCAATACAGCGTACAAAAACAGCTAACTGCGCTGTACCTGTTAAATCGCAGGTTTCGTCCAATGCAAGTGAAAAATATCTGCATTTAGTGACAAACTCTGTAATTTGACTGATAATGTCTGTTGACATTTCTTCTACTCGCCTCATTACTGTGTTGCGCGAAAGTGAAATACTATCTGCCATGGCTTTAACCTTTTGATCATTGCAGTTCTGCGCAAAAATTGTCAAACTCTGTTTTATAATGTCCCCATCAGAAAACGGCTTTTTCTTTTTAGCCAAGAGTAATATTTCATACGATGTTTTGACCATGGCTTCCAATTCGTCATGTTGATTTACAAAAATATTTTGCTGTGAAAATAGCTCTTTCTTCTTTTTCTTTATAAAATCTGTCCTCAAAGCTGAGCCCATTGGATACTTTTTTCGAATTTCGCATGGTTTTGTTTGAAATGCCGCTCTAAATTATATTTTTAGCAACAGCTACTGTTGCTGAGCAAATGAGACACACCGGTTTGCGGGCTTTGCTCTCGGTGAAAAATTATTTTAGTTCCCATTCTTCATGAAACGTCCGAGAGTTATCCTTTATTTTTGATGTACTAGGTTTGCTAAGAGCCATACTAAAACAATAGAGATTTAACTTGTAAACTACAGTTAACGATTTTAATATGGAATGTTGGTAAGTAAAGTAAAATAATTGATTTGGACAGGCACAATACGACAATATTAATAAAACTTGACTAAATACCTACTTACCTACAGTTATCACATAACGCACAATAAACAAACAAAAACCTAAAATGGTAGGTAGGTATCTAAATCAAAATCACAGCACGTACATAGTCACTTATCTGCAGAAAATGCAAATGCAAAGTTTTTATAGAATCTTTTCTAATTTTCAAAACAAATTATCACCTAACTGATTTTATTATTGTAGTACCTAATCCAATGCACCCGAAGTAAAATTGGTATGTAGAAGTAGCGACAACACCCGAACGACGCGGATCGGTTGCGCTCGGGCGGGCATGTTTTCGTTTTAATCGACCAATCAGGTGGAGGCGGCGACACCGCGCGCCCCGGCTTGCCGATGGCGGACAAATTTAAATGCCTTGGCGGGCCACTTGGTGGCCCCCGTGCCTGGGTTTGGCCGGCCTTGGGTTAAACTGTTTGGCAGAGAACCATTCGATAGTTCCGGAATATTTCTTACTCCTTTGAAAATCACTAAAGAGGGAATAAAATTCCCAGCTACATTAACACAAGCTAGCACGGTGGTTGTAGTGCCTTTTTCAGCATACGTTCTATTGTAAACGTATTTTTTGCCTATTTTAGTTACAATTTTAGAAGCTTTGTTGACATACATAAGACCTGTTCTGTCACAATTCCATATCCTCTCTGGACAATTCATCAAGTTACGTGCAACTAATGTTGCTTCTAATTTCATAAAAGTCAGCTATTGATGCAGGATTTCAACAAATAGCACGGCCAGATGAAAGGTTTTTTGGAGTTCTTAAACTTAACCCATAACGTTTTTTGAAGCCTACCCACCAATTCCATCCTGCACATTTTTTGTTTCTGTTGAAGTTATGCTTGAATTTCGCTGTCAAGCATAACGCTAGTAAAATATTAGCGATCGAAAAAGCGATTTGCCGGATTTGGATGACAGTAAGTCTAAATCAAAGTTCTTGCATTTGTATAACGTATAAAAATAAACTTTGTTCTAAATTTGCTGACAAATAATATGGTCTACCAACCTTGAGTATTTTAATTTGTTTATGTTTGATTGCAGGGAATAGAGTGAATGGGGCACTACACTCTATTATGAAGAACCAGAATTTGTCAAAACAGGCACGTATGGTAATTCATAATGCTGTGTTAGTCCCTACTTTAATGTATGGTAGTGAAAGCTGGGTGTGGCAGAAGAAGCACGAAAGTAGAATAAATGCTGTAGAAATGCGGTCTTTAAGGAATATGCTAGGGTGTAATCTGAATGACAGGGTGAGAAATTGCGTGATAAGAGATAAATGTGGTATGCAAGATGATGTTGTGACCAGGATTAAGAAAGGAATGCTTCGGTGGTTTGGTCACGTAGAAAGAATGAATGAGGAAAGAGTGACAAAGCAAATTTATATGGCAGATGTGAATGGCCGAGTCGGGAAGGGACGCCCTAGGAAAAAGTTTATCGACCAAATTGGCGATATTTTGAAAATGGGCCACGTTAGAAGTACCCTTAACCGACGAGCATGTATGCGTAGATATATGGATGTAAAGGAGGCGAAAGAGGTATGTCAGGATCGTGCCAAATGGAAGTCCGTAGTCTCTGCCTACCCCTCTGGGTGACAGGCGTGAGTGTTTATGTTATATGTTATGTTTACGTTTGATTATGCCCTGCTTGCGTTATTGTTTTACCCTTTCAACATTGACCTTTAAAGTACTCCACGGCACTTTATATTCTTTTGATGCCCTGTACAGACTCATTTTTGATTGCGGGAACACTTTCAATTGCGGATGTCAGGGTTGTTTCATTATGTTTTCTATTTTTATTTTTGCCTTTCTCCATGCCGTCTAAAATAAAAAAATAACTCAATTATGTGATAAAAAAATAACAGTCTTTTTAAAAATGCTTGAAAGTGATCCTACTTTATTACCTGAGTAAAGATAAATATTTTCTGACTTAAACTACTAACGTACACGTACTGAAAACTATTATAAATACACGAATTGAAAATAATAAAAGTTTGCTTTGTTAATTCGGTGACACTGTTTTGATTTGCAATCTTGAGAACTTTTTGAACCCAGGAAATAAGGTATTATGCAAAAACAAATTACTAAAACCTTTATCGGTATCAACAAGTATATGTTTTTAACAACTAATTGTCAAAGTATCATATAACTTACACTCCCCTTTTCTATTTAAAATGATTTAAATAATGACAGCACAGTCGCACGCTACCGGTGAAACGTCAAACATGGCGGGCGCAATGAGAAATCCCGTGATTGTTACTATCTCACTCGCACGATCTTAAAAAAAATTTGTACACGAAAAGAAGCTTTATTACCATACCATAGGGTTCATTTTAATGTATTGGATTTTACTCCTAAAACGCTGTGAAAGAGTCCAAACGTTGTATCTCCGAATTGAGTCACACAATTAGGTGAGTTTACCTTACCCCTTTTTCAGGCATCATAAGGGTATATAGGAATAACGAACATAATACCATACTCAGGGTTGTAATATTAATAAATCTCTAAAGCTAAAATATAATATATTAAAAGTATGTTATTCAATTTACTTTTAATAATTTATATGATAAAGGTACTTTTAATTTAGTTATTTTTTTCGCGCTTTTTCAACTATATTTTTCAATTCACTCGTAAATATTTTGTGAGTATAGATTGATAATTCTTCACTTTTGATTGTGCAACCGGGTTCCAGCGCGATAACATGGGCGGTTATCAGCTGTTCCACGGTAACTTGATCAATGTGAATGCTTACATTTACTCTGTAAAAATTACAGAATGAACATATTATTATCAAGTCTCTGAGATGAATGTTTGTGACACACGAGCAGATGTTGATCCTGAACTTTTGCTAAGGAAAACTAACGACACTATGAAAAACAAATTATTTTGTTTTTCATAGTGTTTGTATAAATAACAAAGTTGTTTTTGCGGTTCTTTAGAATGTGCTACTTGTATCTAAAAAAGGACTACTATACATTATAGGGGTTTCTGTGGTTTATTCATTACCAAGGAGAAAAACTTATTGCACAGAATGGGTTTTTACCCATTTTAAGTCATCAAAAGCGGTAGTCAACCGTTAAAAACAAAATCAACCGTTGTTATTACAGATGGGCAATATACCCACCTGGTTTTAAACCCAGGTGGGTAAAAACCCGGTGTTTTGGGTTTAAACCCAGTAAACACCCAAATTTTTGGGTGATTACGATTTTTAACTTAAATTCGAAAACCTATTCTACTTCTCGACCTCACCAAATGCTAGCTGGTACAGTGGGCCACAGTTCCAGCTACCCGTTTCCGTTCCCGTTCCGTTTTCTTTCGATAGACCAAGGCGACATGAAAGACCGGATATGGTTAGCTTGAGCTGTGGCCCTCCGAGTGTGTAGAAGAGATCCGCATTAAACACAAACTTAATATTCAGTAATAAAAACACGTAAAAATTAAAGTCATGAATTCATGATTGAAAATTCATTTCAATCATAACATTTACTTGGCATTTATTTATACTCACTATGTGACTCTAAGTCGGACTCACGAACAATATAGTAAAGTAATGTTATTATGTCGCCTACAAAATAAAAATTGTGTTTGAGTCTATTCTCATCCCGGGGTGGGGGGGGGGGCGGCAGAAATTGAAATGATGAATTTGAATTTCTATGACGGGTCTGGGTGTTTCTATGTATAAAACATGTATTTAAAAAGTATATAAGTAGTATATCCATTAACCCGGCGGTACTCGCTAGGTGTTTACATGCACGAATACTCGCTACCGGGTAAAAAATACCACATAATTTAAATGACATTATCTTGGAAAAATAAGTTTGCATTACAAACTTTAATGGTGTATTTAGTTTATTAATACTAATGTCTAATAAATAAAAGAAAATTAAAAGTTTGAATTATTATTTATTTCAAATTATAGCTTATCCTAAAAAAATACAAATTCTAACAAAAATTCTTCATAGTCTTAGAAAAATCAACAAAACAATTTTTTTCTTAGGTATCACGTAAAATTGAGATCAAAAATTATAAAACGACCTTATACACTACCAAAACAACAAAAAATAAAATACTGTTTATATTAAATGAACATCGAGAAAATGATCGTCAAACATTATGTTTCAAAAAACTTGTACCTAATCTAACTATTTTGCTTTGACATAACAATCGCCACAAATTGGGGTCGTATGCTCACGGCATATTCTTTTGGAACACAATTTACAAGACGTCTTAGTTTTTCGGTCCTTCTTCCATTCACATACTGCACAACGGGAAGCAGATGTGGACGGTCGCAAAGCTGAGGGTGTGCTTGTGTGCGTGGCTTTCTCATTCGAGTCAGCATTGAGCATACAATCAGTTTTTGTTTTGATAATTTTTGGCAAATTAGCTACTGTTGACCTCTTTTTTATCTGTGGCCTCACAAGGGCCAAAGCCAGTTCTTTCAAAGCGATCCTTCTCTGAGCCATCACAGCTCCACTATTTACTTTATTTGCCTTCACTATCACGTACGCATTGATGCCGCCGACGTTCAAAAGACCATAAAACAAAACCAATGGCCATCTTTTGGTAGCTCGTGCTACTGAGTAGGTAGCACACATCTCATCCACAACATTGACGCCACATTTTGTTCTATTATAGTCCATGATCATCTCGGGCTTTTTTTCTTCTCCAGAATCTTTTTTTGCCATCATGGTGCATAGTTGACGCCAAGAGCACGACTTTATTTTTCTTTGGAACATAAGACACAACAGTACAATTATCTTGAAATCCAAAAAGGGAACTGTGTACTTCCCGGTCTTTGGTTGAGGTAAATACAAGTGGAATTTCAGCTTTATTCTTTCTCAAAGTACCCAATGCTGTCAAACCATAATCATTGAGCAAATCACGTAATAGCGGAAAACTAGTGAACCAATTGTCCATCACTATGTTACGATGACTATTCTTTATAGGTTCTACTAAGCGTTTGACGACTTCACTTGGTGAATTACTGTGATCATAAGGCCCATCATTTTTGCCAACATAAATTTCCATATTATTTGTATAGAAGGTTCGTGCGTCAGCCAACACAAATATCTTTATACCGTATTTACCGGGTTTGCTGGGTATGTATTGCCGAAATGGACAACGGCCGCGAGTCTTCTCCAACTTTTCATCGATTGTTACATTTTCGCCGACAGCATAATATTTTTTTATATTATTATTGAACTCTTCGAAAATCTCGCGAATGGGTGCTAGCTTATCTGTTTGCCTTCTTTCACCTCGTCTACGAATATTGTCAAACCGTAAACTCCGCAGTAAGAAATGGAACCTTTCTCGTGACATTGTGGCTATACAGACGTCGGAACCACTTCCATCTTTTTTCCCAGAGATCTTTTGTGTTCAGATGACCACTTCGCAATCTTCCGCAGAAATAAAGTAGTCCAAAAAGAGCTCTAAGTTCAACGATATCTGTACTTTTACAATCGCGTTCTCTTGAGAATTTAGACTTTAGCTCTTCTATATAAATGTTAGTATACTGGACTATCTTTAGTAAACACGTTTCCGGAAAAACAAGATTCCAGGCTTCTAACATAGATGAACAAGATCTGCCTTCGCCAATCGGTCCCGGCAAATGATATATAATGTTATGGGATCTTGTTCGTACACGTCGCGGCGGCTCACGAACTTGCCAGCGAGTTCTTTTGTCTTTTCCAGTAAAACGACCTCGCCTCAAGTACTTAAGCGGTACATCCTCTAAATATTCTTCATCTTCAGTATTCTCAATTTGTAAATTCGAAGGAAAACTCTCTTCCGACACTGAAGACCCATCTGAATCACTTGCTTCTTGCTCTGTTCCGCTTTCATGATCACTATGCTCCTCAAAATCTTCTATTTCTGACACATTTTCTTCTTCACTATCTTCTTGTTCTAGGCATTCTTTTATAATTCGATCCGTCAGCAGGGAACTCATCATAAACCAGCTCTAAAACAAAATAATAACATAAAAAAAACCACCAATAACATAAAAAAAATGTAACAAGAACCGTCGCTACCGGGTATTTTTCACCCATACTCACTTTAAACGTCCGTTGTCGCCAAGCGCCGCGCGCGAACTGGCCGCCCGGTGACGCACGCGCGTGTTAACTATTGGCCAGAAGGTACTTAAAGTCGTGAGTTGCCACCATGTTCAGTAATAAAAATATCACGTGATTCAGGTACTCTGTGGTATTTTTTACCCAGCAGCGAGTACCGCCGGGTTAAGCTAGCACCCATAACATAAGCATATTAGTTGCTTACTTTGGAGATAGGTAGCATTGTGTAAAATTGTCCAAAGATATTTATTAATTATTTATTTATTAAAAAAGAGATAAAATAAAATAAAAATGCAATCAATCACTATCCGATTCAACACTGTCACAGGCGACAAATTGGATAGGTTCCATCTCGTCTGAACTATTATAGTCATTTACTTCGTCGACGAAAGCTTCTATGACATTTTCTTCTTCCTTTTCTTCATGAAACTGAATGTTCTCATGTTCATGTTTATGTTTAAGATTCCAGTTAGGCTACGGTCTCCTATTAAATGCTATACGCGACGTCCGACTTCAGCGTAAACGTTCCGATCGGCGTCTGAACGCCAGGCACAGCGTCAGCGGTCAATACATATTAGCAACGGACGACGTCTAGACTTTCGGTCAAACAACAGTAAGTAGCCGACAGTGCTCACGTGTGGTTGTGTGTGATATTTGTTCATAAAATGGATACAAATTCAACAATTTTGGCGGCGCTTGTGTTACTTGATGAAGAGGCACAAGACGACCGTATACGAAGAAAAATAAAGGCAACAAGGCACCGATTATTTATGAAGAGAAATGAGGAAGGATGTTTCCAGCTATTGATAATGAAACACTTAAAAGACAGCGATTCTAAATTTACTGAATATTTTCGTGTTAATCAAGAACAATTTAAACATATTGTAGAGCTTGTGCAGGAGTATGTAATAAAAGTGCCATCAAAAAGGCATCCTAAGCCCATATCGGCTGAAGAAAAAGTTGCTGTTACACTGAGGTAAAATAATAATCACTTTTTACTTACATAATCTTAATATAATATAATAATAACATAACATCAAAATAAAATATTAATCATTTGGTTGTCTTTCACATGTTAAAATATTCATTACTCCAAGAATCTTCAGGCATAGGAGTCACTGGAGAAGAAAGTCTTATCTCTGTATTCGATACTAACTGACAAACTTTCGCTCTGATGGCGGCTTGTTCACGCGGCGGAAACGTCTCCACCACTTCAGCCATTGACTCAAAAAAATTTTTTGATCGCTGACTGAGGTTGAACTTGCGATTGATTTTTTGTATTGTTTACTAGTGCCTCAAGTAAATTTAGCCTCTGAATTTCCCTTTTGTCTAGTTTTTCTTGTAATTTAATTGGTTTTCGTTTCTTAGAGGTTGACGGACCTAGCGTAGAATTATCAGTGTTGCCAATATTTTCTTGTGTCGTAGGCCTGTTTTCAGCATATATCTCTTGAGTACAAGTATTATCGCATTCAAAATCAATGCCAGTATTGACCTCTGTATTACGAATACTTTTCACTAATTCCTTCTGAGCGAGAAACACTGAAATTATATAAAATACGTTAGCGAATAGATAGCGTATGTACTAACAAAGAGCTTGTTTTTGAATAATTGTATACTATACCGTCTCTCAGGAGCATCAGACAAAAAGGACATTAGATCCATATATTCCCAAGTGCTATTTATTCTCGCTGAACCTGTGCCGCCCTCTTTCGTCTTTTTATTGTACTGGTCCCGAAGACTTTTCCACCTCTTTTTACATTCTGAAACTAAGAAGAATATTCATTAAAACATTTTTTAACTTATTTTTCAGGTACCTCGCAACCGGGGAGTCCATGCGATCACTAGCTTTTCAGTTTCGTATATCGCATAACTATATATCACTGATCATTAAGTCAACTCTAAAAGCAATGTGCAAACATCTTGTTCCTGTATATTTACCAAATATTACAGAAAACATTTTAAAGCAATCAGCGGAAGGATTTCTTTCCAAATGGAATTTTCCATGTTGTGCGGCAATTGATGGTAAACATATCCGAATCAGAAATATTCCTAATTCCGGGTCTTTATACTACAACTACAAGAAATATTTCTCTATTGTTTTGCTGGCTGTTACAGACCCAGACTGCAAATTTTTATGTGTGGACATCGGTTCCTACGGTAAAGAAAGTGATAGCGGAATATTTGTCAAATCGACTATAGGCAAACAAATACTCGATGAAACTTTTCCATTTCCATCAGACATTCAATTACCTGGCACGGATATATTTTTACCCCAATTTATTGTTGGTGATGGTGGATTTCGGTTAATGCCACGTCTCATGAAACCCTATCCATTTACTCAGAGCCAAGAAGATACTCAGAAAAGACAATTTAACTACAGACTGAGCAGAGCTCGACGTACTGTCGAAAGTGCATTTGGCATTTTGGCTAATGTTTTCAGAGTTTTTCATACACCAATACACATGGAACCTAGTACCATAGACTCCTTAATTTTGGCGGCATGTTGTTTACATAATATGTTGATAACTATGAAAAATAATCGTGTATCCAGTAATGACTTAACCGACATACCATTGCCATCTGAAAATTTTCGACCTCTCAGGCGAGCGGGGGGCGCAGAAATTACGTCAGCAGTAAATATTCGCAATGAACTTATGACATATATATGTTCACCGCAAGGACGGTTGACGTGGCAAAATTACTAAAATAATAAAAAATAATAAATAAAAACTTACCAGGCAATCCAACTACTTCACAAATTTTTTTCCCAACATTGGTGTTTATAAACATTATTTTTATGTTCCTTGTAACCTTTATTATATATTGCAATATAACATTTAACTGTCTCAATCAATAACTCGTCTTTTTCTTTATTAAAATTGGCCATTTTGTACTGACGCTACACACGACGTTCACGCTGCAATGGTTCAAAATGACTAGAGACGCAGCGCAAAGCGTCTTACGCCGCCTACGACGTCCATACGCCGACGTCAGCGTGTAAAAGAGACCACAACAGTACATTTCTATACTAAGCATCGTAACGTGGCGTACGGCGTGACGCTGTAAGCGGCCGACGGCGTTTATAGGAGACCATCGCCTTATAACAAATGAACTTTTTCAGCTCTTTCAGTTGTAAGTCGATTTCTTTTGTTATTATGTATGTAGCCTTGGATACTAAAGGAACGCTCGGTGGCTGCAGAAGTACACGGAGCTGATAGAATACGAATCGCTACTTTGCTAAGCTCGGTGGAACCACAAATACCTTTCCACCATATTATGGGCTCAATACTATCTAATGAGCTCCATAGAAATGGTCTGGCCCAAAAGTTTTCTTTAGCTTTGTAACACGCCAAATCTGCCATTACATTAAACAAACTCAAGTGGTGACTTAAATTGTAGATAAACTCCATACCCTGAAGTTCTTCCTCTTGAGTAAGTTCTAATCCCTGAGTTGTAGGGTCTAGCATATATGCTGCCAAATGTATTGGTCTAATTGCCATATTACATCTTAAAGAGTACTGATGTTAGAATTTGCTGTTTGCTTTCTTCGCTCAATGTTGAAATATCAGTTAAAGTGAAACGTATCTTACTTACTTACTTACTTATCTTCACGCACAATCCTTAACGGGGTAGCCAGAGAGAACAGATCGCCAAGTGTCACGATCCTTACATACCTCTTTCGCTTCTTTCAGGTTCATTAACTTCTTCATACATGCACGTCTAGGTATCCGAGTACTCTTGACCTTCCCCTCTTCGAGTAATTTGCTCACATGGTCTTCGAAAGTTAGTCTCGATCTACCTCGAGACCTTTTAATATTTACTTTCGCTCTATATATTTTCTTCACCATTCGGTCTTCACTCATTCGCTCAACGTGCTCAAACCATTGGAGTACGCCCCTATCAATTTTTGCGATAAGGTCATCTTTCAATCCTGCCATATTGCGAATCTCTTCGTTTCGCTTTCGATCGGCTATGGTAACGCCACACATTTTACGAAGAGATCGCATCTCCACTGCATTCAACTTGCTTTTATACTTCTTCTGGCGTACCCACGTTTCGCTGCCATATAACAAAGTCTGTACCAACACTGCGTTATGTATTGCAAGGCGTGCACTCTTCACCACGCCTTGCCTTTTGATTAATGCATTCAGGGCACCATTGACTTTGTTTCCGGCAGCGACGTGCCTATCCACATCTAAATTACATTTTCCATCCCGGCTGAAAGCACTCCCCAAGTATATAATTTCTTTTACCTGTTCTAAACGTTCCTGATTTACCCATATTTCACATTTCGTTCTCTCTTCGTCCTTTTCAAATACCAGAACCTTAGTTTTATTAGCATTCAAACGGAGACCTTTAATTTCACATTCCTCTTTCATACACGTGACTAATGCCTGCAGTTCTGCTCTGATGGTGCAATAAGCACTGCATCATCAGCATACAGCAGACAATTTACTTTAATGTCACCCAATTTCACACCCAAACAGCTATTTTTCAGCTTCTGTAAACAGCTGTCGAGATACAGTAGAGAAACGTATCTTAGCTTTTATATCTTTAAATGTAATGTATGTGGGGCGTTCTACTTTTCTACCGACAATCTGAGTGATAAATTTTTAGATTTTGAAAAAAAATTAAAGTGTAATTCTTTTTCCAGTTATCGAAGATTTTAGAAACATTTAATGCATTGAAGTTTTATTTTATATTTTTTATTATTTTAAGCTTTATCGAAATAGTAAGAAAAAATAAACACCTGTCACAAAAAAAAATTATTAGTTATTATTTAAAATCAAATTTTCAGATTTTTTTTAACTTTGCTTAACTAGATATTTGCTTAAATAGATACAAACATTTATTATTATCTAACTCGATTTATCGGAATTCTTATTACAAATTTATAATAAAACCGGCCAAGAGCGTGTTGGGCCACGCTCAGTGTAGGGTTCCGTAGTTTCCCGTCCGTCACAATAAGTGTTCCCACTTATGAGTTTAAAGGTGGGTATCCATTATGTTCGCGCTCCAGCAGCGCTCCGCGCTCCTGCATCTGCTCCCGGTAGTGGGTACGTGCGCGAACATGGAGCGTGCAACATTGCACGCTCCGCGACAGGTGATGCCAAGGAGAGACCAACCGAACAATTCGATAATACCCGACCCAATGTAATAAGTACCTACAGCGCCATCTCTCGGGGAATTGGGTTACTAATTAATACATAGACGTGCCAGAAGTTTTCGGTGGTAATTTTGGATAATTTTTAATAATTCTTTTTTTTGTTTGAAAAAAGATACGTTCAGGATAATAAAATATGTAAACGAAGTTAAAAAAAATGCCTGCTTAAACGATTATACTACAAACTTAGTCCAGAAATTATTTTGTACAACTTTTTGTCTTTTTTGTACAAAAACTGTTTCCATCCAGGTTCAAAATAATTTTCCTAGAAAGTCCTTATAAAGTTCTACCTTTCAGATTTTTTTCATATTTTCTAAACCTATGGTTCAAAAGTTAGAGGGGGGGGGGACACATTGTTTTTTACTTTTGGAGCGATTATTTCTGAAATTATTGACATTATCAAAAAATGATTTTAGTAAACCCCTATTCATTTTTAAATACCTTTCCAACAATATATCACACGTAAGGGTTGAAATTAAAAAAAAAATCACTTCCCACTTTACATATAGGGGGGCTACCCTAATAAAACATTTTTTTCCAATTTTTATATTACCACTTTGTCGCCGTGATTGATACACATATTGGTACCAAATTTCAGCTTTCTAGTGCTAACGGTCACAGAGATTAAGCGAGGACGGACAGACGGACAGACAGACATGGCGAAACTATAAGGGTTCCTAGTTGACTACGGAACCCTAAAAAATAACATTTAATACCACTCGGTCACATTTTTGCTCGTTAAGACAACAAACTTTGAAATATTTTGCAAATAATTGAAATAAACATAACTGAAATTCTGTTAATACCTTGTATGGTCAATATGTAATAATATAATACGTTATTTTAGTATATATGTTTTCAATAAACTGAATCCTTTGCTACTTTGACATTTAATTACAAGTGACAAAATTGTGACAGAGTGGTAGATATTAATAAGCCAACATTTGAACTTAATCCCTTAACATTTCTAAAGTTTTACAACAATAAGAAAACATAATCTCTTATAATACTACATAATGTATTATTTCTTGGTAGAACCATTTTTTGGTACACGTAAAATCAGACTAATCTTCTCTTTTCTCTTATTCTACTTTTCAAATACTTCTATTGGTTTATCAAATTCGTAATAAACACGCCTTCCTCTTTTGACTTCTTTAGGACTTGGAATTATTTTTATCAAGTTTTCAAACATCACATCTGATACATCTGATTTTACTAATTTAAATATTTTCCAGTATCATCGACAGTTTTATAAAACATCACCTGAACATCTCCATCTTCATACACACAACTTTTTGCAACTCCTAAGTAGGTTTACTCGACTTTATTTTTACTGGGTACTTTTACTAACATATGTGTACCATTTTTTATTAATAATGGGTGGATGTTGTCTGCAGACAGGTCATATGAAGTACCCGGTTTTATGTGCACAGTTTTTTTCCGATTAACAAGAGGCTGATCATCTTCATCTTCTGAAGTAGAAGTATAAACAGTTTCAAAAAATCTCTTTGTACGAACTCTAATTATGTTGGTTATGTCAGCCAGTGGTTCTTTTAAATCTGAGGGCTGTCGTTAACTTCTATCTCATGTTCAGGCAATGGGCGATAAGTCTTCAAATTGTAACAATCACAAAATTTGTCGCAAAAACAACTCAATGTTCGGTAGCTCAGCACTCCAGGTTGCTGAGCAACTAGTTGGTGGACGTTCATAGTACCTTTCAACGGAATAATTTCACTTGGAATTTCCATTAAAATCTGGGCAATATCGTCTTTGCCAACAAGAAATAGCTTTATCTTACTGCGGTCTTTAAGTGCTTCATAAAATTGTAAAGCATCAATAATGTCGTGTCCACTGGCAACGAAATGGTCAGCTAAACGTTTAATAGATCCTCCTATACCGTCAGCTGCTCCCTTGCCGTGACCGGACTCAAAATAATTCCAGGTTGAACTTTCAAATTTGTATTGTTTAATAAATCTTGTTGCAAAAAGACAAAAATTATTTTTTTGTTTGTACTGTGTTGCTGGTCCATCAGAAAAAAGTGGACTGTCTTAATATGGGGTAATTCTTTTTGAACCCAATCAAGTACCGGATGTAGGTGGGCCCAAATAGCTGCAGGGCCATGATTAAGATCAGAAGACACTGTACAAAAAGAAGTAATATGTTTGTCCTTTGTAGAAGTCAAGTAATACTTTACTGCGGTATGCAAAGTTACTTGGTTTCGCGATCCGCCGAAATGCACTGATTGAATTTCTTCGTGGTACTTACAGGCGTAGTTTTCACTATAGTCAATATGTAAAGCAATTTCGGTTTCAGTCAATTCGTTTATACATTGGCGATATGATTTATATAGATTTCTAATATTAAATATATAGGATTTAAAAACTTTTAATTCTTCTTCAAATTTACTAACCAAAATTGTTCGGTCTGTTTTATGTTTTTACTGATTTTAACTTTTTTTCCGTTCTTCTCAATAATATCCGTTTTTCTAACCCATTGTACCAATTCAACCAGTTTCTCGATCATATTACCGTAATTGAGTTTCTTTGCTTCACATTCTGTGCATTTTCTTTTCATACAAGTTAATCGCAACATCGCAAACAATTTGTGAGATTATCAGATTCGTTTGTTTTGATAACTTTGTTTTTATATAGAGCATCTTTCATAAACGTAATATTTGCGTGCAGCTTGCACATGCAGGTTTCGCGGCCATCAATACGAGGTGGTACGACATAAAACGGTTTATGTCTCGCAAAATAACTGTAGTGACATGTAACGTCCGGATTCTCTTTTCGAAACGATAAGTATAGATTTTTCCTTGTGTCCAACAAAATCCGTTTCATTTCAATTTCAATAAATCATAACCGTGTTGTTGAGGTTTAAAAATACCTACAACCACATACCGTCCCGCGGGTGTCCTAAGAGGCGACAGGGTGAAACTGAAACGGGAGATGGGCACCAGCATTTTTCTGATAACAGTCAAGCCGATAGTCAAGAAGAATCTGTATGATTGATCTGTTCCGCTGGTTAAAGATGATATTTCAGATATTGAATATTCTATATGGTATTGTTTATTACTATATTTAGGTACTCAAAAACTTATTTTAGCATTTTGAAGCCATGTCGCATAACCGCTCATCTGTTAAACAAAAATTTCGCAATATGGCCGATACTGTCGATGGTTTCCCAGTCGTTCGACAGACGCAGGCTTGGTTTTGGCCTTTTTTTCTTTAGATTCAAATATCTTCTATTTTAATTGAAGTTATTCATAATTCTGAGTTAAATATTACTCTCTATTATCTATTCTGTTGTTTTCTTTAAATTTTCTTCATCAAAAGA